GTCTGTGTATTGTTTTTAAAGTTTTCTAGGGGAAAACCCTTTAAAAGCAAGTCCCAGGTCAAAGACCACGAAAAAAAGTTGCGATAACAAACAGGAAGCGGCTTTGGATTTGGTGAAAAAATTAGCGTAAGAATTTTTCTTTCGGACCAATCGAAAAGCAAATATGCTTGAAGACTCCATGGGTACCAATATTTGGTAGAAAAAAGCTAAAAAGTTACGTCTAAGTGGTTGTACTAACCTGTTTTTGTCGCCTTCCGGTGCGACGGCGGCCATCTTGATGTTTGTTTACATAGCGCGCGTTTGCCATCCAAGAAGTCACGTGATTTCTTAGTGCAAGTCGCCTATTACTCACCCATCCACATATCTGATTTCTTTGGCAATATATTACGAAACCACCAATTGCAAGAATTAATACAACCACGGAAATGATTGTTAAAGTCGAATATGGGTTTGGCTCATCAGTTGATACATCCAAAGGAACTGTAATTGCAAATTTAAAAATAAGAACTATTAATTATGAAAAAGAACGTATACCCATAAAGAACAAGAAGAGATGATAAGAAGGAAAGAAGCAGAAATTTTCTCTGGCTTTAGACTAATTAAAAAAAAAAAGTTATTTCAATTTCAAAGTCAGAGAGAAACATTTAAAGTAATACGAAAAAAGAGAAAGAAACTGTTAACACAAAAATAAATAAATAAGAAAATACGAGAAACTAAAAGAAGAGATGTTGAAACAGCAATGTAACCTGTTGTGTTTTCAGTGTCGTCTTCTGTAGTGTGCTCTTTGGTCACGTGACTTCCTTCACTGGTCGGGGGAGTATCTAATTCTAAATTTGAAGGAGTTGGAGGGGATGGTGTGGAATAGGTTGGCATTCCTAAAAATGAATGGGATTAGCATTCATTTTACTGAAAACAATAATGCAAATTCGAATTAAATGAACAAACGAATTAAATGAAAGTGAAAATTAATCTAACAATAACAACCAAAAAAAAAAAAAAAGGGAATACGAATAGAAATAAAACCATATATAACAAAACAAATAAACAAAAATTAAAAAAAGAAAGCTTACTTTATTATTATCAGCCATTGCGAAAAAGATGTCATCTAAATCCTGTAGTCTTGATCCTTTTCCTGCAAGTCTCCTACTTGGACATTTTGGTGCATTACTGCCTACTATATGTGAAATCGTTAACCTGTCACTTCAAACTGGTGTTGTTCCATCTTCTCTTAAAGTTGCTGTTTTAAAACCGT